GTGTATTAACATCCTTGGTTTAGGGGGAGGCAAGTCAGACAGAGTTCATTCACGCCTTTCATCTTCTTCTGCTGCCATTACTCCCCATACAAAGAGAGTGTATGAATGAAAATCTAAACAGAAATCATAATGTTAAAATATGATAAGAGTTACACTTGTCTTTGTCTGACCTACAGGAAGTACATAGCATCCCTTCAATGCAAGTAATTAGCTTTGGTGCTTTTCACTGACTAAGTCCACTTTAAAATACTGTGCTGAAAGTAGTTTCCAGTACAATAATTGGTGGAAAAAATAAAATAAAATAGGCTTTCATTAATCATACAGTGATCATTATATCATTAAATTGGCCTTTAAAAAGGCACACCAATATATTGTACATTGTATTTCTGATAAGTAATATCCCCCTTTCTTTAAGTGAATTTGTCCATAAAAGTTAAGAGGATTCAAGTGTTTCGTGTATTCATTAGCTAGACACAAGAAAACTCTCTCAAATGAGAGAATAATAGGCAAATCACCCTTTCTGTCCTCCTAGCTGTCAGGAAAAATGGATTAATACATAAAACTTGAAACTATGCAAGCTACTTTCATGCAAAACACACAGATAAAATCTTTGACCAGAATATCTAACATCAAGTATAGCATTTCAGTTTAGCCTACCTAAGTCCCTCAAGATGACATAATGATTTTAATATTCCTTAGGAGGTTTAATTTAGGAAAAGCACATGAAGCCATGCCCACTTGCATAGATAGCTCAGTGGTGTGTTCTATACAGGAAGGTAGATAAATCTGTAGGATAGGTAAAGTTTTATTTGTTACTGCTGTGAACTATTTTATCAAGTATTGAACATTCTTGCCCAAAAACCCTGTGCAGATATTTTTCTTTAGAAAAAGTAGCAGTGTGGAAATGCAAGGATACAGTGTTATAGTTAAACATTTGAGGATAAATTTTTTATCTCATTTTTTCCACACAGAAACTAGGATTTTTCAGAGCTGACTAAGGGATTTAGAAAACCCTTTAGAAACTTTAAAAATTAATAGCATTTGGACACCCAGATTGCCAGATGGCTTTGAAATTCTTACCCCAAATATTTGTTATGAGAACTTGAAAACTTTCAAAAAGCTGTAGTATTTTTTTTAGTAGATGAATGTCTATTGTGTGCATCGAGTAGGCAACTGTTTTCCCATGTCATCTGGCCTCTTTTGTGTTCCTATGGCCTCTCACATAATCCTAGTATAAAAATGTCTATGGTTTGGGAAATATTAATTAAGTTAACTGATACCCTTTGTGAACACCCAGTCTTTACCAACGTAGGTATGAAGGAGTCTGAGTTCATGTCTCAGCCTCTATAATTCAGAGTCTATGTACTAAGGAGCAGAATAATATTTCAAAATCCTTCATGTCTGTGTCTGATAGAGAGTAAATAGATAGAGGCTTCTTGATCAGCTACTACCAAAAATATGGCTGATTTAGCCAGAATTAAACAGGAATGGATACACAATTTCACCTTCTCTGTCAAGATTTCTGCTACATTAAAATGCCCAAACTTATCTGCCCTTTTACCTGCGCATAGATACTGCACAAATAGAATGATGCAGGGGAAAGGGAAACAGAATTATTCTAGAGAAGC